CTTTCTGATGTGGTTTTTGTGCAGCTGCAGGAAGGAGTTCATTTAACCCCAGCCAGGTACCTGACAATGTGAAGGGAAAGGCTGCTTGTGCTCGGAGCGCTGTTCTAGCAAGTGAACTTTCTGGAATAAGGATTGCGCCCGAATTACTGTGGTTTTTTTGAGTGGAAGCCATAGGGGATGGGAGCTGACAGCAAATTGTTAGGGCAGAGGGACACAGGACAAATGGATGTCTAGCTGAGCTCTTGAAGGCTGTTGCTGAGTGGGAAGGAAGCAAAACATCTTCTTGCCTTATTGGCATTTTAAGGAGGGAGTGGAGAAGCTGGGAATGACAGAGCATCCTCTTATAAGATGTATTTGTTTTGTTACAAATGTCAGCAGTGCCTCTCTAGAAACTTGATTCCAAGTTTAATGAACTTCTGCTTGCATTTGCATGTTCTGCAACCAGCGAGTATGTGTCTAGTTGTAATTTTCAGTCTCAGTCATTGAACTAACAAGATGTGACCTGTGTTTCTGAGAGCTCAGGACACTTACATGCCCATGACAGAGGTGCTATAAAACCATGTCAGGTAAGAGGTGTATATAGGGCACTGGTTTGTTTTCAGTGTAGTGTCTTGAAAAGAATTGGGCAGTGTCCAGTGCTGACCTCAGTCTTTTTGTGGGCTAAATTAATGTCTTTATTCTGCTTGGCAGTGTGGGCCAAGAAGAATTCCAAAATGAATGCAGGAATTTGTGGTGTGCAAGATGTATGAAAGTCCCCTCAATTGTTTTTGTGTTTCATCAGTGTGTTGTTACAAATAGGCCTGTGTAACGCAGAGGAGAGCCTGCGAGCCCTTACTGGTTGACAGTGTGAATGGTGTAGCAGGAGGGGCTGTGCTGGGGCCCTTTTAAGTGGGGGAATATCCATCTTGCGCTGTTGTTGGAAGCAATTATGAATCTGTTTTCATTTGAGGAAAGAAAAGCCCAGTAGATGTCATTTGATGTTGAAAATGTGAAGCTGAGGCATAAATTAGTGTCCTGCTGCTACTGATCCACGGAGGAGTCATGAGTTTTGAAATAGAAACAGACCCAAATTCTGAATGTCACTGGCTGTACAAAAAAAGTACATCATGCTGGAAGGTGAGTTTTAGGTTAGTCTGTTTTTATGATACTATATTCCTAAAAGAAAAACTGAAAAAACTCTTCCATACTTTTCCATGTAGGAAGGCGAAGAAATCCTGTCTTCTACTCTGGGCATATCCAATCTCAGGTTTGCTGCTTTAACAGGAGGAATTATTTTTGGAAAGAAATAAGATGTGTATTGGGAGCTCTCATCCCTTCACTGAGAACGTCTTTTTTCCTCAAGACCAGGCTGGGCAGAACCTCTCGCTTTGACAAGAATTAAGACCGGGACCTTGCGTGCTGGGCTCTGCCCTCTGCTTTCGTTCTGTTGCTTCATAACAGGCACCAGGTCCAGTCTTTTGACTCTTCAAACTCTTCTGTACTTGTAAGTTGGGGGTGATGTTAGCTTACTCAGTGGTGATGTTTGAAGGAGAAATTGGTGATGGTGAAGCCATCGAGGGGCTGGTGACAGCGCAGTTCCACATCTGGCATGGCTTATGGGTACAGGGTAGTGACCAGCTGACGGGGAGTCCCCCGCAACTGTGGTGGCCTGGTGTAGTAGGAAGCTCGAAGCAAGCAGAGCAGGAACAGTGGCTCAAATAAACACTTGCAGATGGTTGTAGGGCAGTGGAAGAGCTGCTGGCTCTGAGGGGTCTTGCTGGGCTTCCCAGAGAGCTTCTCAGCCAGGGATGGGCAAGAAGGCTGAGACCTGAGTGTTTTTTCAGAAGAGACTGTGGCAGGGCCTCGTGTATGGGAGGTGGGAGTTGATGGGAGCTGCTCAGAGAAGGCAAAGTCACTTATCTGACCCTTGAGGGTGTCTTGAAAAGCATGGACTGCCTTGGCTGTAGGCAAGGGACAGACTTGCCCAAGCTCCCTTTCTCCAGATGCTTTTTATTGCTACTGTATGGAATTAAATAGATGGGAATTAAGCAGATTCTTATGCGCATTCCCTATTCATTGCAGATTCCCAAAGGACAGTTTTAGTCTCTGTGGTGGGTAAATAGGGCTGACCCTCCGAGTCCTGCAGCTGAAGGCCCAGTCTGAGCACCAGAGGAATGGGACTGCGTGCCAGGAGAGGTAAAAGCACAAGGTCTGGCACTGGAGGAGCTCGCTTGGAGCGGGAGGAGGCAGGAAGGATGTAAGTGTGTATTTAGGCCCGCTTCAAGGAAAGCTGCAAAGAGGCAGTGGCATTTATATACAGGAGTTAACACGTAGGTTTTTTGGGTGGTGTTTCTTTTCCTAGTTAAAAAGACGAGGTTCTGGTCTGAGTAAAAATTGGCCTCTCCTCACAATTACTCAACTTCAGTCCCCATTGTCGTGTCGCTGGCTGTGCAGCTGCCGTGGCCTCCCGCAGCCGACAAACTTGAACGTTAGGTGTAAGGACACCATAGGGAACCCATAGGAAACGCTCATTTCCACCCTTTCTCTTTTTTGTGAGGCAGCTTTTTTTATAGCCATTGTGAATGTGTCCAAAAGTAGTAAAGCGCTTGGAAGGCCACTCCGCATTTCTTCTTCCTTTTGCAGGTCAGCTTGAGCTTCTTTCTGTGTTCTCCTCCAGTAAGTGGACGTACTGGTATTTACACATGTGGCCTGAAAGTCAACAGATGAAAATTATTGGAATGGAGAGAAAAGGGGGCCTTTGGTTTTTTTGTTTCAGAGCTTGGTAGATGCGCTCTTTGCCTCTTGCGCAGCGCTGTGAGGCCACGTGGAGAACCTGCCTTTGGAGGAGAACTTCAGCACCAGAGGAAGTTTCTGCCTGGGTCCCCGCGCTGCTCAGTTTAATGATTTGGCAGGTTTCCGACTGGCTGCCACTCCACGCCACCGTCTCTCATTAGGTAGGACGTTTTTAGGTGCTGGATTGAATTTACTTCCATCCCGTGCAGACCTGGTGGTGGTCTGCTTTTTACACACTCCAATTTACAGAGCTAGCGCCAAGCTACTAAATTATTAAGCTGGGGTTTTAATAGAAACCCCTGTGTAGGCTTAAATTGTTTCCACTGTATTTGGAGTTTCCTGCTTGGCTGGTTTTTATTTTGTCCCGTGCATGAAAGCATGGAGGGAGAAATTCACAGGAAAGCACAGAGGCAAAGAGGAAGAATTCGGCCTGAGAGCACTAGAAAGTACAGACGAAATAAAAGGTTAATTGGTACTGTATCCAGCTCTGACGGAGGTGACGGGGGGGGGGAAAATGCTTCCTAATCCCCATGACAGTTCAGAGGAAACTTGAGTGTTTGTAACTTAGGTTTCTCAATAAAATATTTTCTTGCCTGACTGTTTTTGTCTTGACCCCTTCCCCAGGGCTTGAAAGGGACGTTTGTCAGCACACCCAGCTCCCCTAGTTTTTCCCCCAGTGTCAAACCCGGCTGTCACCAGTGGGATGGCAGTGCTCGATCGGGTGGGACTTTCCTCCTTGGGGGGGTTCTCCCTTCCAGCTTTGCACCGCATCCACCCAATCCTCCCCTTGCTGCAGGCTCTCCCCTACAGCCCCACACCATTGCGTGCTGGGTCAGGATTACACTTGCCCATTAAGTACTATGTAGGTCAGATCTGGTCAGCACGCCTTGTTTTTTAGCAGTGCACCGATAAATTTGTGTTGTCCTTAATGACAGGTACGGTTGCTGTCCTCCACCGAATGGGTTGACTCTGTCACACAGTTAAAGTGAGGGATGTTGTTTGAACCAGGACCTGGTAGACCAGGAGTCCTCAGCAGTGATTCCCTGAGGCCGCTTCATCGTGAGTGGTGACCTCCTTCCCCTGGGGATAGTTAGATCGGAGAGGTTTGGAAAAGCAGTGATAAATGGTCAGCATGTGTCCACTCCTGCTCCTCACTCGGCAGCCACTGTGGGCATGTGCCGAGTCCCAAGCGAGGGGACCAGCTTTTCACCACGACAGCGTGGTTGCAGGTTGCATTCCAACCACTCAGACATACCAGTTTCAAGAGCCATCATAGTGGAGCAACTGGGGTTGTCGAGCACAGCTACAGTGAGCCAAAGCAACCGAACTTCAGGTGTGCGCTTGAGGGCTTGGAGCAGGTCTATTACCAAGCTCTCTGAATGTATGGTATGTCTTACAACGTGCAAAACAGCTTAAACCATCTGACTTGGCTCATGTGCATACGGTACTAGCAGCTATCGGCTGAATCCCGCCTGAGTTTACAGGTCTGGCTGAAGAGAAAGTTGGGCTGTGAATTGTAAAGGCTACCTTTGTCACTCAATGGCAGGAATAGCACTGCAGTTCCTGTCATTGTCATCACGCTGAGACGTGTTTGGGTACTTACGGTGTTTAATTGCATGGCTGATTTACTTAATGTCTCTCCTGGGGTCACTCATAACACATTTATTTTTAGGATTCAGGGAAATTAGGGACACTAGCAATCCATTGTGGTTCTCTCTCAAGGCAGGAGTTTTCCAGACGACGATGGTAATAACAGCAGTGGCTTAGTCGCAGAGTAACCTGGTGATGAAATTACCACTGGCAGCCATGGTAGAGCTTAATGCTTGCAAATGAATGATCTCCACTGAAAATATACTACAGGTGAAGGCGGAGGCCAAGAGTTCCTTGGGTTTGGATAACTTGGAGGATATGCATATAGTTTATTGGGAAATCCCTGGCAGCGCCTGTTGGCTTTCAACCCTGTAAATGAAGAATTTTCTGATCAAATACTCAGTGTTTGGGTGTAGAACTGAGGTGGTCATATGTCCTTTCTGGTATACAGCTATGAATCATTCCGTTTCATGACAAACTTGTCGTGCCCCAACAGAGGAGCTCCTTTGTACCTGGCTGATAGCTCCAGTGGGGCTTCTAACATGCTTCTCAGTTGTTTTTAGGAAAGACAATGTGCTGAAAGGCCTGTGGTAACAGTCAGCCTAATGCGCCTTGCTCTGCTTGTTGTTTTTAAACAGATGGACCTCTCTGTGGAAACTCTTTATAGCTTCATGCAGGAGCGCCAGAAGAAGTATGCTAAGTATGCGGAGCAGATCCAGAAGGTCAATGAGATGTCTGCCATCCTCCGCCGTATACAGATGGGCATTGACCAGACGATCCCGCTGATGGAGCGGCTGAACAGCATGCTGCCAGAGAGCGAGAGGCTGGAGCCCTTCAGCATGAAACCCGACCGGGAGCTAAAGTCTTAGCTGATCCGGCAGGCTCCCCCTTCTCACCTACCGCGCTCCAGCGTTCAGCACAGACGCGCTTCCAACGGGCTGGGCTGGCAGATGTTTGAAGCGGATGGCAGTGCTGCCCGACTCTCTGCCAGGGCATCGGAGGAAGAGCAGCGTCAGCTGCCAGAACTGTGCAGCCAGGAATCCAGGAGCTCCCCGGTCCCGTCGTCTGGAGAAGATGATTTATCGTTCTTTCATCTCCCTCCTCTTGCCCTCCTGTCTCCTTTACTGCTACCACTGCCCGTGCCGAGACATTTGTTTCATTGCTGTGACATTGCTGTGGGGTTTACAGAGGAGGAGTGTTCTTTCATCTGATTTTTTTTTTTTTTTAAACTAGAAAAATTCAAAGGGATACGGGGTGTGACAAACTGTCTAACATGGTTTTTGTGCCACTGGGGTTTAGACGATTGGATGGCTGGCAGGTATTTCTGAGATCCCCTGGCCTTGGAAATATGTGTGTTTCATAGGTGAAAGTGCAGGAGCCAGGAACTGGCTTATTAAAATCTGCCTATTATCATAATTAACATGGTTTGCATGGCAGGGTTTTGGCATGTCCTCCTCGAGGCTCCTGTTTTTATGGGCTCACTAATTTATGAGGCTGTAAAGGAGTAACTGTTCCAGATATGTATGTCTGTTAATGTTAGGCAAGCCTTAGCGTTCCTCTCCCCCTTGCCCTATCAGTGTCCCTGTGCCCCAGCTGGTGGTATTTCGTGTCCCTCACCTTGCACAGTGATTCTGACAGGCACTGGCACCGACCTGCTCACTTTGCATCCCAAAGTTGGACACGAGTTTTTTTTTTTTTATTTTTACTGGGACACTCCAGTTATCTTGGTGCTGTCTTTTTCTACCAGAGGGATGCAGTTTTTCTTTACCTTCGAATGTATGGAGTTGGAGGGGGGAGATATGAGAAGTCCCTCAGGTCTTCTCCTTGGCTTAGCTGCCGTCATGCCGAGAGCTTGCCTCAGCGTGGTGTTTTATGGCTGAAACCACACGGCCCTTTGGGACTGCGCTCAGCGAACTGCTCCAAAGGCAACACGATGTTCTTGCTTTCTCCCAAGGCGAGGGCCCTGCTGCCCGGGTGCTGGGCTGGCCCGTAGGAGACGGGTTGTTTGCCAAGTCTGCTACTGGTCTGCTGGCTGCAGGTGATTTGCAGTACCTTTCCGAGCTTTGGTTTCTCCCCGTATAAAACGGGGGCATATTCTACGCGCCGTTGTAAAAATATTTACCAATCTAGAAATAAGATTTAACAGCCTGCATCACCGTTGCGTGGCAGTTCTTGTCTGCAGGAGGAAGGGCATGAAACCAAAAGCGAGGAGTTTGCTGGGTCAAGGGTAGCTTTGTGTGTGTTTACATTAGTCCCGGGATGCTGTTGCTGGCGAGGAGGCCGAAGTGCGCCCATGAACCCCAAGGGTTGTTGTACATCAGGAGTGCAATTCCAGTGGTGAGGACAGCTGTCTTTGAGAGAGTCAGTGTGACAACCCATCTTCCAGTACAGCACAAGGCTGGGTGACTTGCCAAAGGCGACTTGCTTCGATACGTCTTAGTACTTAAGAGTACTTAATCAGCAAAAGACGGTCTCTAGGCTTTTGGGAGTAAGAGCGCAGTAGGGTTTTGATGGTATTAATTGCTGCCTGGTGGCAGGAAGCAATAGGCTGTTCTCTTGTTGCATTCCCAAAGGCCACGTAGCCTAGAGTGAATTTTGTGACGCAGACTGCAGCCAACTTAGATGTGTATCTGAACTGTAGCCGTAATTGGACCCCAGGGCCCGCTGAACGCTGTCTGAAAGCAGAGTCCCATAGAAGTGAAGCCCCCTGGAATGGTGCCCTGGGAAGAGCGATTGACTGCTTGAGAAATGGCAAGGAACTCAGCAGATTTTCTAGTAAAGGCAACAGAGCGGGCCTGGTTGTCTACTGCTTCCAGAGTTGTTACCTAGTTGTATATGCGTAGGTGTATGCTGTATGTTGCACCGGATACAACATCAGGCTTCCATTCTGGCTCATGCGTTCTGCAGTATTTTACACTTGGTTTGTTAAAAGCTTACACGAGACTTAACAACCCATGAAAACCTGCTTGTCGTGGCCATGCCCCTGAGGGTCCTCATTGTCCATCGCTGAGTATGTCTCTGCCTCCCGCCATCAGACACACCAGAATATTTAGCAGCTTTAAATAGCGGCTGCAGGCGTTCGTCCTCCTCGTCCAGATGATGCTGTCTGGAAGTTTAGAATGTGCGACATTCAGCCGTCTGCCAGACGGGATCATGGATATCCCACACCCTGGCGTGCTGGAAGCCTATACCGGTGGGAAGATCCTGATATTGGATCTTGAGGCAGGGGCTAGGCTGCAGATGCTTTCTCCTGTAAAGCTTCTAGACATTTGGCCTCATGCTATAAGTATCAGATCAAAGCATTGCTCCTGCGGTGCTAATGAGGGCAAGCGAATAGTGTTCCTATCTGAAAGCTGCAGGAGCGAGGGCTGCAGATCAGTTCCCTCCTTATTTGCTATAAAACACCTAAACATTGGGCTGATAATGGGAGAAAATGCTTGTTCCTATGAACGCTGGCCTTTAAGCTTGTGGATATGGTGCTGGGCCTTCCAGCTAGAGCTTTCTGAGCAGCAAGGGTAAGTTGTGAAAAACGTTAATAGCTTAACTAGAAAGAAATCAGAGCTGAAACGCGAAGCACACAGGTCATCACCTTCATTCCACAGGTGATAGTCTCTTGTATGGGTACTGTAAGATAACGTGCACCCTCTAACTGTTCTCAAACGATGGTTTACAGTTTTATTTAAAACATTGTCACTGGCTTCATTAACTGTAAGTCTTTGGACCTCTTGCTGAGGGGAAGACATTTCTTGTGCTGCTGTTTGTTGCTTGGCTGCTCCTTGTTCGCTTTGCTCTGCATGCTGCTTTCGGCTTCATCTCAGATGCAGGTGATGCTCAAAGTGAGATTCTTGTTTTGCTCCTTTTCCCGCTGTTTAGCAGGAGATTCGAGATGTGACTGGAATTACCTTTCTGCTTATGAATTTCCTTTTCCAGGCCAAACGCTGTTGGAGAAGGCCTCAGGTATCTCACAACTGTACTAGCTGTTACTTCTACCACAAAGTTAGTGCTATGAACAGAGAATAATCTGGCGTGCTCTACTGAAAACAAGTATTTCTGCCCTTTTCTGCTTTCTGAGGTGATGTGCGGTCTGGGGTGCAGGGTAAGCTTCTTGATATGCCATTTCCTGAAAAGCTGGAGAACAGGGTGAGTCTCTGGGTCTGTGGTTCCCTGCTGGCCTGAGCTGCTCTGGTTCTTCCCCCGACTCTGCTGTTGCAACCCCCGCTTTGTGCTGCCGCTGGTGCTTGTTGCATCCTACACTGCTCAGTGTGCTACACACGCAGAAGAGGTTTGCGTTGTTGTTTCCGTTGTTTTTGTAATTTAATGCATTGACAGGGTGCTAAAGTGCCAACCTATCTGCAGGACAATTTCTGTGAAAATCCGGTGAAGGGGACAGAAGAGAGTTGTGGGTTTTTTAAAAATATATGTATTTTAAAATAAATATATTTGAATATATTTAAATATTTAAAGTGTATTTTCCCCTCCTCTAAGCTTTTACACAGAAAGAGTAGAAATACAAGTTTTCACAGGCCCACTCATTGCATGAGCCAGCCCCTCTCTCTATCAGACTGTGTGCCAGTGATTTCCTGAGGTACTATTGTAACATCCCTCCTGTTCCTGAGCTGCCAGAGTGTATTTTGATTCCCAGCCTCATGGCAGAGCGCTCCTTGGTTTATGGGTTATTATCCTGTTCACAGACTTGCTCTGCTTTCAGCTGCCTATGTGCTACATGGCCCACAGCTCCAGCATTAAAACGTTTGGTATCTCTCTTTTCTAAGTGTGGAGTTTCTCCGATTGCCTTGCTTATTCTTCATTTACAGCGCACCACTTCTTGCTGCGATGATTATGGATGGTACACACACTTTAGTGTGGGAGGTCATATCTTAGCTTTACTGCTTTGTACGCAGAACCCACCTTCGTGCCATGGAGGTGGCTGTTTTCAGCTGTGCTGGGGCTGCCTCTGCCCAGGGACTGTAAGGAAACGTGTGCCCTGGAATGAAAATAAATGTTGGGTTTTTGGGATGTTGTCCCAATTCAGGTTGGCACTGATGTCCAGTTTAAATAAATGATGTGCGCAGCGATGCTTGTGACTCGCCAGCAGTGGGGTGGGACCGTAGTTCACCTGGCTGCCTACCTTTTCTGGGCTGGTAGCCTCTTGGAGATAAAGAAGAGGGTCTGGGATTGATGGACTGAGACACTTATGTAAGACTGTAGCTTCCCTGTGCAAAGCACTCGTGGTGTGAGACACTCTCTGCCTGTTTCGTTAGAGCCCTTGCACCTTGTGTGCGCCCAACAGCTTTCCTGAGATTCAGCCAGAAGACTAAACACAAGCACCAAAGTATTTCTCATTTCTTTCTCCCCTGCCCCCACTTACCTGCCTGTCAAAAAGAGACCATGTCCTGACAGATGCTTTACATCAGTTCTTCGCCAGATCGCAGAACGAACTAGGGCTGGGCAGCCTGCCGGATGCTCATCTTCTCCTACCGATTCTTCGCCCATCACTGAATGAGTTGCTTTGTACTTTTAGCCAGACTTCAGCATCTTTTCAGCTGGTCTGTGGTACTTCTTTGGGGGTTGTTGGCTTGCTTTCAGCTGCCACAGGTGGGTTTAACTTCTTCATAATGTGAGCCTGCACAGGACAGCAAGGTGACACAGAAAGGAGACTCGCTCACCCAGTGGTCCCCAAAGCTAGGACGGGTCTGAGGTGGTCATGGGTGTGCTCTGCCTACCTACAGCATCACAGAGCTAGTCCTCCTAAGGTGGGGGAGAGCAGAGGAGCATTCAAAGGGCAATTCTTAATGTCAGCTGCCTAAAATAACCCTTTTGTCTTTTTAAAAGCTTTGTATTTTAACAGACCTCATGGGGAAGCTGTGGA